CTGGAGATCTAAAAATTAGCCAAAATTAAGGGTCATCGACATCCGCTCTCGCCGAACAAAAATGTTTTAAATCTTGTTAAATAATCTCTGTACTTAAATGGAGAGTAAAGATAACAGAATTTTCGCTAAAATAGCTCAAATAAGGTCTTTAACATCTTATATCGCGGCTTCTTATGTTCTTTTAAGTGGACAACGAAAGAAAATAAATCCAAATGAAGGCAATTAAAAAACAACATACATTACTTTGTGACAAAAAACGGAAAAGACTCAACATATTAGGTTTGAACTCCAGCTACAGGATCACCATGGTTCACATCACAGAAATCAGAAAAATGCTCTCGAGTTAAACAAGAAAACTGAACTAAATGGTTTAACCTTTAATTGATTGTAAACTGCATAGCAGTCTGGTAAAGTTCCCTGCACAGTGTTGTAAAGCGCCATGAGCTCAGGATATGACCGCTATATAAATAAAAGTTATTATTATCATTATTATTATTATTATTGTTATTATTATTGTTGTTATTATTAACGTAATCATGCTACAGCCGCATCTCAAACTATGACGGTCTATGCCTGACTTTTAGCCAAAACAAAAATTAACATTTTAAACTTCAACTCTTTATTGAGAGAATTTTCTAATCGCCCAAAAATCTAGCTAACTGAGATTGAGTGCATTGAATTTCAGAATACATAAACACCTTTGAGCACAAATTAGGACTGTATCCCAATATTTTCATTTTCCAAACTCAAAGATCAATTAAGATCACACGGTCTGTATGGACTAACAACAGTGGCGTACTTGCTTCAAAACTGAAAATTCTCTAAACACACGAAGAGAAAATTTTTCTTGAGGGGATTTGCAAAAATTCTGCTATATTTATAATATTTCACCCAGCTATTGATCTATTAAAAAAAAGAGCAAGGTCGTGATTTCCAACTGCATAATTTTCCCACACTCAAGGCCCTGTACCGAGCTTAGAAACCTTAGTCACAAAGAAGCTACCGCAGCAGGATTTCAAACAGTCTCGACTAACATTCCCTTAAGTTAGGCAAAAGATTGCTTGAATCTTTTCGTAATTCCGTTCGCTTTTTATTTGCAATATCTAGCAAATCTGAATTATACACAGAGAGAATAGCCAACGAGTACATCTATTTGTACGAGAATCCAAAGTAAGGAGCTGTTAAAATCAGAGAGGAATTCATCCAGAGGATGTGCAATAGCCAAGAGAATTAAAACTTATAATCTCTTGAAACAGATAGCTCACTCAAGAAAGAAAAATTTGAGAATTTTAACTTTGATCAAAGTTTACCTTAAGTAAATAAATACTAAAGAACTTTGTATTTTGACCTCTTCGCTATCTTTTTCATTTAACAGTTTATTAATTTCTGGAAAATCAATTCCCTTGTAGTTTAAATAGCAAACACAATTCTCAGTAGTTACTCGACAATTAACATGCAAACAATAATGTGGTAAATAGATCAACTGTAATTAAATTTGACTAGTGTAACTGTATTGTTATATATGTATTGTAAGTAGTGTAAGTTAATGTAGTTTAAACATGGTGTAAAAAGTAATTATAGTGTAAGTACATGTGTAAGTGTAATAAACAATGCTGTATTAAAAAAAAAAAAAAAAAAAATAGTATTTTGTTTGGCACCGCTCCAAAGCAAAGCTCCCGAGAGTATTTTAAACAATACATCACACCCCTAAGAGTGTTNCCCCTAACCCTGCAGGAGACGGGACCTCCATTTATTCGTCCCTATCCGAGAAGACTAGAATATCTAACCATTTCTTGATGTTATAGAAAGGCAGCATATTCTTCTCAATTATTTTAAGACCCTGAGTGTTGGTCCGGCCGGGGCCGGACCAACAAAGAGATTTGATTTTGGTGCTGCATCAGATAAAACTTTTCTCCACAGTTTAATGTTTATTGGTTTTACCCCTGGCCCCGTGTTATAAAGGGGTGTATTATGCATGTATACATGTACCATGTCACCCTCAAAATGTATTGCTCTGCTCAACAAAACTGTGAACACTGCACATTAAATTACTGGGACATGGTGGACAAACTATCAAACCTTGGCGAGGTCATGTCATAGTAGTCTTTTACTACAACCTCGAGACCCAAATAAGTTAAAACGATTAGATATCCACATTTCAGTTTTGTTATTGAAGAAGAATATAGCTGCATGATGGCAATAAAAAGCCATTATTCGGAGCAGTTCTTTGTGGAATATTTAGAATGAGATCCAAACTGAAATGACTCTAAAAAACTCAAGCAAGATTGATGCGCTTCCAACATAATAGAAAAACATGTGTGACATGTTTCGATGTATCATGAGTGAGACTGCACATCATTCTGCCGATGCTGTTTCGTGTCGAAGAAGACAACTTTAAAAAGGTGTCAGACTCAAAATTATCTTAAGTCTTGCTCGAGATTTAAGTTTAGGGCTATGGCAAGTATGGGGCTATTGCAAGTTTGGGGCTATTGCAATCACATATTACCGGTTTCCCTACATTGACATCTTCACACACTTCTCTAAACAATGCCAAACAGTAACCCTTGCGGACTTGAAAAACCCTCCAAAATAAGGTTCATTCAGCAAGAATATAGAGCCTAAATCAGGACCGTAAACTCTGAGAGTCCTTTTAAACATGAATACCGAAAACGCATAAGAAATGGACAATAATTAGTCATGGAATAACACCAATTTATCACCGACAATAAGCAACAACTTCTGCTATAGGGATGGGGTGGTCATCAGGTCCACTCTCTGTGAGGTAACTTTGCTGATTTGCCTCGATGCGCGAATTTGTGTTCATTGCTTCATGCGCCTTAAGTAAACACATGAGCTAGTCTTCGCTTAAATCAGTGAGTATTCTCAAATATCTAAATTGTCAACTTGTCGAACCATAAAACAAATATTTGGCTTTCAGATTTTATGCTCTCGTGGTTCAATTGGAAACTATGGAACGTTTGATTTGAAAAGCGACAAAGACGTAGCAACCATTGATACATTTATGGCCATGCGAGTTAAAAAGCGAATTCGAGTGATCAAGGAGCAAGGCATTTTGGTCTCTCATTTAGTAAATCGCCAAATATTTATGTTTTCATTTCTAAACTGTAGGGTAAACAAAGACGTATCTACGATAATTCAAGCATTACCGGTTCAAAATAATGTTCGCGATCTAAGATGGAAACAAACTTCCACTAACCTCAAAAATTAAAGTGAGTCCGAGCTTTGCCTTTGTGTCGTTTTCTGAAAATCGTTCACTGAACTATAGATAGTTTGTAAAATCGCTCATTAGCTAAGTGTGAGCGCCGCACCAACTCTTGAGGGCTATTTGCTCTTTTGTTCGGGGAAAGTCAACAAACATTAAGCCTATTAAGTCCTTCCGTCACGGTCGAGATCTTCACAAAGTGTTTCTTCTCGACGAGTTTTCAGATTCACATGACAAGTTCTGAGCAGAACTGATGTTCACTAATTACGTCTTTACGGCCAAGCCATGAAAACTGACACACAGCTTTAATTTCTTTTTCCCCCGTCATTCTAGCCTCAATGGATTGGGCGGAGAAACAAAACAAAAGATAGGCGATTTTAATCACTGTTGAATATTTAAAACTTCACCAGTAACCTGTCAGGACTTTCAAAGACCCCATCTGTCCGGATAATGACAATTTTTCGAGCTTTCGGTGAACCATTCTTTCTCTTGGCGCACGAGATGACTAGCGGGTAGAAAACTGGTCATAGATTGTGAAAGAAGATAACAAACTCGGTAAAGCAGGTGACAACTCAATCGCAGCAAAGCTCAGTTAAACATGTGAAATGGTACTTCATTCGCAGGTTTTTACTTTCATTGTTCCCTTTATAGCTTTTTGAAAATGAAAAGGAAACATCGGGTGCGAAAATTCTATTGCTACCATATCGTAACCTCAAGCGACAGCTCTAAACCACATCAGTGAAGCAGATTTTCTCAGACAAACTTACTTCATAAACAGTGCATTGAACCCTCAATAAAACGTCCCGTGTCTTTCCTGTGTTTTTAGTGGGAAAAAGATCTATTTCTAGAGTTGAAAATAAACATGTAAACTAACTCTGCCAAAGTCAATAAAATCTGAATGATAACACGAGTAAACAGTGAGCTGTCGAAAACAGTGGGGAAAAAATAAATATTGGGCTGACTTGAACAGCACTCTTGCAAAGTAAACACTCTGCGTGTAATTAGTCCTGATAAAAAAAAAAATGGAATATATCGGGTGAGTTATCCTGTACACAACTACATCGGGGTAATACAATTAATTTCTACAGTCCGTAATTTTTCTTTGTTTTTGTAACATTTCAACCCAAGACAAAGGTTTTTTGTGGGATGTACTCATCTTTTACACCAAACCCCCAAAGCGAATATCATTTCCTACCATGCAGTTTCTTTGGCGCAATTTGTTTGCGATCACCCAACCGGCATGCACCCATTTATTTACGAAAATGCAAGACTTTTCAAACATGTCAAGCAAATATTTTTTTCTTGAGCAATATGCTAAATATGAATATTTGGACTTATTTCAAAAGAAATTTTTCATTTTTATCCTTAATTCAATATACTTAGTGAAGGAAGTTTATATAACTTTCACGACGCAAACCCCCAGGGAAAACTTAACTGCCAACTTAACTTTTCAAGGTCATCGAGTAAATTTTCAACAACAGAATAAACAGTTGTTCAAGAACACAAAATGCTGCTTTTCAATCTGGCGTTTCCATATAGCAGTTTGGAACATTCATTAAATTTCCATTCTGGACATAAACGAAAAACTCGTGGATAAAAAGAGAGCGGCTCGTAACATTAAACGCGCAGACGTTTCGCCAAATGACCGAGAAATATCCCACGAGACTACCTGCAGCACCGGCATCTGCACGCGCTACTACCCGGTTGACGAGATTGCTTCAACTAGTTCCACCTGCTGCCAAAATTTGTCTTTTGTGTTTGCCTTCTTTCAACTTACCTAAAGAACAGATGATTTGTGCTTTAAACCCAACCTGCTGTCAGATCGTGTTTCTTGGGGCTGCTGTGTATCAAAACGTGTTTTAAGATGCGTCGCACAAAAATGTCCCTCAACCAAGTCACGAGGAAGATTTTCCTACAGACAAATCGATGAATGAGATGCTTGTTAGCTTAACGTATCCGACACATTGAAGACTCACCTCATTAAGAAAAATCTCTTCACTGCTTTTGAATCATCAAATAAGTCGTCAGCAGAACGTGACTGGTGCATGAATATTGCGAAACAACAGCACCCTTGATTAACCCAGACATATGTTGAAACAAAAAACAATTACGATATGCGGAGGTCGGAAATGTTCAAATATTTGTCTATATTGATTTTTTAATATTCCTATGCCTATGAACATTATCTTTATTGCCGCTTTGCGGCAATAAAGAGAGGGGAGGGGAATAAAGGGAGGGGAAGGAAAAGTATTTTTTCCTTCCCCTCCCTCTCCCCCGTTGCCCATTTTTCCACTTAACACCAACACCCTCAGCAAATATTTCCTCGCCCCAATCCTCCACAGTTACCAAATCTAAGGTGGCGGCCTAATACGAAAATGTGCACTCGTGCGCCCAAAATACGCCGGCACTGCAGGCTACAGCTATATCTAAGATATCGGTAAACAGTGAATTATTTGTCGCACGAACACCATTTGTTTAGCTTTCGTAAACCACGAGAGTGTTAATAGATCTTGTTTCAACACAGACGCTCTGCTCAAAGATACGTTATTTAGCCTTTTCTTTCCTTTAAATGAGGCTTGTCTTTCCAAGTAAACAAAGTTAATTTTTGGTGTAATCTTCCTGTACATACAACTCCCACGTAATTACATAGCAATTTCAAATAAATGACCCCTTGAGCAACGGTCTAAAAACAGCTAAATAATCAAAATGATTTAAACCGGCTCACGTATGATAATTTTTATGTGAGAAACCCTTAAAATAACCAACATCCCGCAATTTTAAGGTAAAATGCATGTATCATTTTATATTTGTGTAGGAGTCTTCTTTCTCGAAAACAGACTTCCGAAAACAAACACGATTTTCACAATTCTTTTCCAACGAGAGACCTTAGCATTTAGGTGAAATCTTTCCTCGGTCGCTTTAAGTTTATATTCAAATTCACTGAAAATATGAGATTTTAGCGAACGGCATAAACGATTCAACGGAGTATTGATACTCTCATCAAGGAAACTTTTAGTCAGCAGATTGGAAATTTCCAATCGGTCCGGCGCAGTGAATAGTACGACGAAACATTAAGAGAAACGGTCATTTCAATGTGGGTATTCCATATTGTTGAAGCAAGCAAACACAATGAAATTGGGAAAATGGGAGAAGAAGACTTTATTTTATTGCCATATGTTCACCAGTTATCATCTGGGCGTCCTTTTCCGATCGCAAGGACAATACCTTGCATTCTAAGCAATAACGAAAAACGTCAGGGAAAATAAATCAGTGATTATCTTGAAGAGTGTCTTGTTTAAGTGTTTCGCAGCCTCGAGGTAAGCACAAAACGGTTAAGACATCCAAGTTTTACGCTTAAATTCAAACCATTAAATGCCATTTTCATCCATATTCCTTGGACTGTTTTGAATAGGCAATATAACAGTATATGATGTAATGTAGTCCCCCGGTCTATGAGTAACAATGTTTGACCAATCTTGTCTCTTATTTATTTATTTACTAAATATTTATTTATCGGTCGTGACCTGCATCATATTTACTTTAACTTGCAAGTATTTCATTTGCAGTAAACAGACACAAGATCAGGAATAGAGAAGTGATTCAATCATATAAAACAATTAAGAAAGAACAAAGCTCCTTGGGGAGGAACAGAAATCCCATCAAATTAAAATTGATGATATCAATACGAACAAGAAAACAACCATGTAGTTAAAAATTAGAATTCTTGACTAAATTAGCCTTTCCCCACAATTTTGTGGGTGCTTTTCACACGATTTAGCCCTATGCCTTCCTATTCAACAATTTTCCTTGTAAAAATGCTAAATTGGCGCTTCAAAATTTTCCGCGACAATGTGCAACTCCCGAAATCGTGAAATCAACGTGTCACTAACGTTTTATGTATTCACTGGATTCCCATTGGTGTTTTTTTTTTCTTCTTTTAAAGAGATGTTAAAATACGAACATCGATTCAAACGTTTATCCTGTTTAAGACACAAGAACATTCTTGGAAAATCGCCATCGCACAGGTCGTCGGTTTCTCAAGAAGTTAAAGTTAGAAAAATTATTTATTTGTTCCGGCAAATGAATGAGGCTGCTTTTACCAGTAAAAAGTGTTTGTTATCAATTATTTTGCTCTAGGAGTGTTACTACCAGTATTATGTTAACAGTTTACAGTAATATTTAATGGTAAAGACAGAAAAATACCACATGCCTCACTGTACAGTATAGTACTTTGAGCAAATTTATTTCTTTAGGCAAATGATAGCTCTTCCATAGATAAATTATTCCATTGTGTCTGTATTTTGTTGAAAACTCAAGAAATCTATGTCTCGTTCATTTCATAATGCATTCCTTTAGAAAGTCAATTATGTCCACCGTTAAAGTAATTGCCATAAGACTGATTCACTTCCATACTGTCTGTTAAGTCTTAAAATTGCCACGTTTTTAATATACCGTAGTCTCGAAACGAAAACAACCCAAAACTAAGCAGACATCAAATTGTATTCATTTCGTGGGTAATTAAAACCAGAAATTTGACCGAGATCCCAGCAGTTTTCTCCACTCACAACTGACCGAGTCATTGTGTTTAAGAATATGAAGAAGTGGAAACTATTACTTTAACGTAAAACAGATAAAAACAATATCCTGTGTTTTGAATACACTTCACGGGAATAATTTGAATCTAATTGTTTGCCTTTCTATAAAAATTCTTGTCAGTTTCTCTTCCTGCGGGTACCTAATAATCCTTTCTGCCCTTTTTAATTTTGAAAACAAAGGCAGTTTAAACTGCCCTATACAGTGTTTTTTCCTTCTTTAATAATCCATTACCGATTCCATTTCCTTCATGAATTATACTAACAATTAGCCAAGGTTTGCGAGAGAGACTTATGGTGCGGCGCTCTTTGGTTCCAAATATTAATTATAGAAAACAAACGAAACGTTTTACAAAGTCCACAAGTCATTTTTCTCTCCTGCGGCTACTAAAAATCAATTTGACAAGTTTTCCAGCATTAATTCCAACACGATTTGACCGCTGAGGCAAGACTAATTATTAAAAGGTCAATCTGGTAACAAGAGAAAAACTCCATGTATTTTCGGTGCCGATAGATGTCTTCAGTTAATTTGACAAATGGCGCCAAAATATCGAGCGGCGATCGGTAAAGAAAGTCATCCTTGTGAAGAAATTCATGATCACGAAATATAACAACTTAAGACAAAATCTTATATTTTAATTGTGACCCTTTACAATTTCTTGTGCCTTTAACTTTGAATTGAAATACGAAGCACCGAAGCTAAGCTGTCCATTTTTTCCATTTTAATCTCCTATGAATTTGAAAACCATTCTTGAAAAAGAAAAAAAACCTACTCCACCAGTTATGTATGTAGGCGTCACATTGTCCGAAAGAAACTGCGGCCTCACCTGTTTTGAGGGTCCAATTTCTTGAAAGATAATAGGAAGAAGGAAATTTTTCAATGTATTTTTTCATAATTACAAGGGAAATACTGGGGTGGTTAACTAATTACACGCCATAATTAGGTGGATCTCGGAACTCAGGTTTTTCCTTATCTTTACATTACGGCAGCTTCAAGGAAGTCGGCTCATTTAATGCAATATTTATTCAATCGAAGCTAGAATTTCAAACTTTGATTAAATACGGGGCTATTCTCTTGTTAGTTTTAGAAACAATAAAACAACAAAGCAGTTCTGGGATATGTATATGATTTGCTTTCGATTACCTGAAATATAAAACTGGACCAACTCAACTCATCATTTGGTTCTCCAACAGAAAAAGGTTTCATTTGTGTTAAATGCTCTACGAAATTCTTTTTTTTTTTTTTACGTTAAAAGTTGGGTCGTTATTTACTTTTCCTCAAGTGCTCTTCAGTTCAAAAAGATCAGAATTCCAAATTTGGTCCTCTGAAAACGTTTACATCGATGTATGAATACGTGTTCCTATTACAGAAATTGACAAAACCAATTTTAGCAAAAAGATCACGCGAATAGTATTTTCAAAGGATAAAACCGAAACTCCTGGATCAAAAATAATTTTTTACGAGACTGCTTATTTCATGGAGCTCTCAGCTTGCTTTTAACTCAGTTTCCGAGAGGGTAAAGTATTAATTCATCTCACTTAGTAAGATCTCATGTGTGAAATGTCTAAATTGCATTACGAAGCGTGGGGATTGAATTTCACAAAACACTCCCATTCCACAAACGGAAGGATGAATTAAACGCAACTGAGTACAAGATGACAACTGCACGACCATACTAAACTACAATAGAAATTTGAACGTATTTACTTTTCTCGGTACGTATGAGTGAGTGATAACCGGTTCATTAATGTAAAATAAATATAACGTCGATGAAGATAGTCTAAATGCACGTACCGGCGATAGATTTTAAAATTCAGCAGTATACAATATTAAAGCATTGAGCCATTATGTCATATGACAGCTTTTTGCCGCTTCGTTCTGTCAATTCGTAGACACCGTATGTTCGGTTGAAAAGCGAAATTTAAATACGTAGAAGTTTTAAGAAACAGATAGGTCTTTGAGCTATCGGATTACGCCTACACATTTGCCAGATGCATTCGATATCCCAAGTTTCGAAAAACTTCATATTTTTGCTTTTCACCACGTTTTACATTCGAAAGCTTTGTTGTAAATTTGATCGCCTAATATATCAAGTAACTTCTTTATGAAGACCTATATGAAAGCGCGATAATCTTTTGTCATAGATGTCTTCCCTTTTCGTTTATATATTGAATCATTGGGAACTTAAGTAGAAATTTGAGTTTACGATAATGGTCTGAACTTATCTCTTGACGATGTATCTCCTGCACTTATCCCAAAGATATGCCTTTCGCTGGAATATCGCGTAACATTGAGAAGTTTCGAACTTTTCAAGCGCGTCGCGCGGTGACTTCCATGTTCATCAAATGAATCACTTTGCTAACATAACAAATATTTTCGCGGAGAACATTTATACAAAAACAATGAAACTGCAAACATGTCAAAAATCGGGCACATCGGGTAAAGGGTAAATATGGAGTCGAGTAAAAGCCAAGAAAGATCAATATTTGTTGTACACTACTCGGATGATATTTTATGTAGCCTGAGCAAAGTAAACAAGTACGATGCATCTCACCTCTTAAACCATCAAGGTTGACAAACAATTTTAACAGCTCAGAAATATTTGATCTTCACGCCACGGAACCTGAAAAGGAGAGCAAAACTGTGAACTAAAAACGAGTTTCATAGAAAATTGAAAGAAATTTTCACCCACCGTACAAATCATCAAACTTCTGCCTATGACACTCACGCAACTCGAGAGAATGCAAGTGGTCTATTTCCTTATTTGCATTACGTATTTACAAAGCATTTTCGCGGGGATTTGTGGGAACGAACCTGAATTGTGGGAAAGAAGTTCAAGATTAGAGAACATAGAGCCATTTAACCGCGTAATACTCTTTCCTCGAGATTTCTAAACATCTGTAGCATTTAAGAAAGGAAAGGCGAACAAAAAAATTCTTACACCGAGATTAAGTATTTCTAATGAAGGAGAAACAAGCAGACAAGAATATAAACGGGACGTACCAAAATTTGTGACCGTTTCAGTTTATTTCACTCAGGAGTTAGGGTTTTTAGGGCAGGTCATGGAGAAGGAAATAAGAAAAGAAACATCAAACTCTAGTGATCTCCTTGTCGCTTCTCAAGAGTAATACAAGTGCCGGTCTATTCCTGGAGAGGCTTCAGCTGTAAATTAAATATCTGCATAAACATAAAGCAATTCCGACAAGTCAAGGATATTGCGCGGTAAGAAATACCCAAAGAAAGTGGCGTACTAAATTTTTGATATAAGTGAAAAGCAATCGAGTGCCACTCACTACATCTACAAGAACACTCGTCCTCAGAAATTCTGAACATTATCAAAACACACTTTCAATTCAATGAACGAACGCTATGAGAGTAATTTTAGCCCATTTTAAAAGCTTTAATCGAAGTGTTTAAGAAGGCAATTTGTACTGGAAGTTCTTTTTCTATTTACCTTTTAATAAAGGCGCTAAGTACAGTCTGTAAAACATGGCTGAAAACAAACTCATCGGTTAGTTAACCACACCCTGGGTAAACATGACAACTTCAACACTATTGGTTAGAATTTACCTCATTATGAGTGAAGACCAAAGGGAACCTTTGATTCACCTTTTATACCTCTTCGCAAAATCAAAGTTTTCGTAAAATGGTAATATTCTCTTTTGTCGCTGGTATGACTATTATCGTTCAGTAAAACAAGCCTATAAAACTGTCTCGTCATTAGCGGGTGTTCCTGAAGTGCTATATGTTAGGTTTTGATTTAGAAATATTTCACTTTTGAAGCTAATTTCCTCTTTGCCTTCGCTTAGCGTAAATTGTAACAGCACGAATCATCTGATTTTTTTTGGCCAATGTATTAGTTAAGAACAAAACAGCACACGAAAAAACATATCCACAAGAAAACGACGTTCTTCATGTGCCAGACCTAGCCTATTTGTTAGAAAAAAAGTTGCAATCGAAGATTTTAACGTGCGGAGGAAAATAATCTGCAGCATCAAAAATGTAAGAAAATGAGAAAGTTTCCTGTTATTTGATGATTTAAAAATATAGTATAGAAACGCAAAGTTATGATGGAGTTACACTTTCTTTTTTTGGGTGAGTCAAAGCGTTTAAAAACATAGAGCGAAATCGGGCATTTATACGGAATGAAAGTACCTGAGAACAATTTTACTGCAGGCGCTTATGTAGAGTTAAACGTTTTCCACACTAAATCAGAGGATCGAAACCACTCCCCTCACGGTCAACAATGACGCTGGTATGCATTACGCTTTAGATAAATGGCTTCGAGTTCGAATACCAAGTGCTGAAATTTTTAAAATTTTGACCTTCCTTAATTCCAGTCAAAATAAAGTAACGTAATTCTTGAGCCGAGAGGCCAGTGAAAGCGATTGAAAACGATACACACGTACAACGAATGCGTTTGTCGGATGAGACATGATCCGTAGATTCTGAAACCTTCTCGTAGATTGAGAAACCCTTGTGGCTTTTTTTAAACCCATATTGAAAGATTGGTATCGATTTTCTTAAAGGCACAGATATCGATAAATTTATATATTTTTTCTCTTTCTAGTTAACACCTCGTTTTCGAATTCCACAAGATGTAAATATGTTAACATTCGTTCACAACTTAATTTATTTGCCAATAACTTTCTTTACAATGCATGAGATGGATTGATTCAGAAATAACTCTTGCTAATATTGCAAAAAGAAAATTTTAATTTATAAACAACCGTTTTTGCTGTAACGAAGCTCCTGCTCTGAATTTCAAGACAGAACTCGAGTTTGCAAACATTTTCTCTGTACACACAGTACGTAGCGAAACTCTTTCGACTGATATCAATATTGACCTTAATGGCAAATTGTGATAAATTCTAGACAAGTATTTAGCTGTAAAGGTAGTGTTTCAACCAGAACTCCAACCATTGTCACTGGACTTTATCATTCATCATGATCTAAACACATTAACTCAATAAACTGTTTTTAATTTTGGTTACTGCATAAAATGTGCACAATAGGTGCTGCGCCTTGATTCATTCGATGGAGGCTAAAGTGATATTTTTTCAGGTATGTAAACTGTAATTTGAAGTGCTAACACTCTTTTGTGGGCAGTAATTCACTCAAAAGCTGCCTTAAGTGAAGTGTTTCGAAGTAACTTTATTGCATATAAACACAAGCGACGAAGAAATATTTCAAACCTATTCTGTTGTCCGACAAAAGCGCAATATCTTAATCACATTTCTATGAAACCTTTAAGAGCTTCAATAAACTAATGGCGTAAAGCTTGTAGAACTGTAAACCTTTCCATTCTTTGACGAACATACCTTCAATTCACCCTCCTTCATTTTTGAAACTATAATTAACTGGGGGTTAAAGATAGAAACTCGCTCATGGCTGAAAGCGAAAACCTACCTCTCAGTTCAATGATGTACTAATACCAAGGCCAGGAATGAACTGCAAGTCAGGTAAAAGTGATAAAAAGTAGCCTATGCGAAAGCCTCTGAGGTGTCCAAATGTCTTCAAGAGTCTTAGAAATTACTTACATAAAAATTCAGTATTGAATAAATTACAAAGGCGGCGAGTGCCTTTGATGCCCCAGTCAATAATTTCATCACTTGTGAATGATTGTTGCATATGACTTGATACCCGGTATTGAGTTAACGGCTTATTATCTGGCGAATTACTTACGAATATCCAGATGAAAAAGCCGGCGTTAATTTTGCCATGTCCTGTTTCAGAAAACTTCATATTATTGGCACACAGCGAAGAGAAAAGAAAGAAAAAAAAAAAAAAACCAGAGCTAAAGAATCTTTCAAAAGGAATCTTGGCTCACCAATTTCTTGCTTCTCGTTTTTAGTAATTTTTATCTTGGTAACCGCAAATCGAAAAATGTGTTCAAAGACTTGTGTCAAAACATATGAAAACAATTCCGCCAAATATAGCGGAATTGGAATAAAGAATATTAATAAAAGACTGTTTGCAATCTTAAAGATGGATTTTGTAGAGCGGGCAGATTATACACAAACAAAGCAATATACGTCTATTAATGAAACTTATGTCTAGTTATTGACGTTTAGCATTTCAGAAAAAAATTCATGCGTCTATCTTTATTAATCTTTTAATCAAGCGGCTACTTTGAAATACTTCGCAGGAGTAAAGCGCATAGGAAATGCATGTGAAATTGTTAATTTTCGGAAATAAGAACTTGTTCTTAGTGGCAAAAACTGGGAAGGCGTGACATGCGATTAAAAGAATATTTGTCAATGGTTGGAGCTACTTTTCCTAACAATAGATCGCCTTTGTTTGCTCGAAAATCTAGCCACGCGTAAAACCTGAAAGAAATGTTAAATACCAGGTTACTTTGACACAAAGACAAACTTATGAAGCGGTCAAATATGCGACTTAAAACCTTTGTTGCTATTGTTCACAGCTAAATCAGGAAAAAAGGTAATGATAATACCCTACTTTGCCGGCCAATTGACTTCTTTTTTGTACGGAATTCAAAAGATGGAAGGTGCTTGATTTTCAACAAAGCAAGCTTTGGTCTTGTGGTTTTCTCGATCAATTATCTTAACGCAGCTATATGCTTCTGGTAATTGTTCTTTATTAGGCCATCGTTCGCCA